GGGCAGCGCCGCCTCTGCCGCGGGTCCCCGCGTCAGCGCCCCGCGCCCTGGCGAGCTGTGGAGCGTCAGCGACCCCTTAGCTGCCCCACTGTTGGCGCTCTAATCTCTGTTTTCCCCTGTGAAAGCACCTGAATTTAGAAATGTTGTGACACAGGTGGGGTTCCCTGTGCCATTATGATGGCTGAAGGGTCAGGTCAACCGCACTCATTGCGCCGGTGCTTTTTGGATTGTTGCACGAGGTTTTCCTGTTGCTGATAGCACCTCACTAGCACCGAGCCCGGTGTTCTGAGCTGCTGCCCTCCTCCTCGGCACCCTCCGCCTGCTCTGGGCCATGGCTCCCCATCCAAGTGGGCTTCCCCCTCCGTGGCCTCCAGCATTTCTTCTTGTACGTGGTAACTGCATTTCTCTGAAGACTTCCTCACATCTCCTCAGGATCTCATTTCTCATCTAGATTTCATCAGTGCTAAGAGCCAAATAATGCTTGCAGAGTTGATGCAGTTCTTCCTCTGTCCCAGAGCTGCTGCTTCAAGCCCACTGAGGTGCACTGTGCCTCCCACCACCAAACCCGACTCCGGGGAGCCCAGTTTTTGTTCAGTGCATCATGTTTCACTCAATTCTGCCTTAAACTAAACATCATAAACATAAACATCATAAACATAAGTGCCTGTCTTGCCCCTCTGCCTCATGGAGAGAAGCTCTGACACGGGAAAGCCCTTGGGTTGAGAGATATTTCCCTTCCTACTCAGTATCTAAACGTTGCTGCAAAACAGCCCTTCTGTGCATAACACAGTGAGGCCGTGGAGCTTAGAGTAAGTGCTGCTGGCTCCGTGCCACRCTACACTGCCAAAGTGCCCATGGGTTCTACTCTCTGTATTAAAATTTGGATGTGCTTCAGGATGCTTGGGAGCACAAGACTGTGGGAGATCCATGCTATGGAGCAGGAACTCCCAGAGCAGCAAGAGGGAGTCAGCTCCTTCCGCTCCTGCCACAGCAACAGTGGTGGGTTTAAGGAGGGTCATGTAAGCCCAGCCCCTGTTCGTTTTCTTTGGAAACAATAAGCTGTTTATGTTGCTTGAACATGGAAGATTTGTGGTTTAATGCTCCCTTGCTACTCTTGTCAGCTGCTTAAAAATTCATGAGTGGAGACATTGGGCTGCTCTTTGGGACAGAATTTTAAGATATTTTTACACACCTAAAGCCACAGGTTCCTAAACACCTTTACAAGTCTGGGCTTATGTGACTGACACAGAGCTGCCTCATAAACTTTTGATGCCCTGGAGCTTCTTGCTCAGACTTGCCGGTAAATGATTGTCCCATGGGTGTAAGCCATGGGTGTAAACCATTAATCATCAGCATGGTGAAACAAAGGCTTTCCACATACAGCTACCACCCCAAATTCTGTCATATTGCCTTGTGCTTTTAATGTCTTCACTACGTGAGCACTTGGGAGACCACGCAGAGCCTAATCCCCATAGACAGTGCTGCCCTTTGGGCACTGTTACCCCGTTTGTCCTCCAAGTATTCAAAGATTTTGCAGTGGTCAGAGGTTCCTCAAAGCAGAGACGTTGGCCTAAGCTAGTTGTATAGTAGAGGATGCACTGATGTGTTGTCACCAGAGCCACGCTGCAGTGGGGGATACATGGAGTCCTAGGGATGATCCCAAGTTTGATCCATCAKCTTTCATATAGCACCATGTTTCATTTCTGTATCTCTCATACCTTCAGCCCACCTAGTCATTTCAATGGCAAGTCTTTTTGGAAACAAGGTCTCAGTTTGTGTTTGCAGCATCTGGTTTGGAGGTCACTGCTCTTGATTAGACTCGGAGTAGTTTTCCCTTCACTGATCTGATCACTGATCTGATCCAGATCTCCACAGCAAAAATATGCACCCATATTCTTGTCATGTGTGTCATTTGATAGGAGGCTAATGGATAGATGCTGAGGGACAACATTTGCTTGCCTTTAACACAGCAAATTAGTATAAAAGAGCAGGATTTTTTTTTTTTTTTTTTTTTTTGAGATATGTCAGAACAATTTCCATGTTCATTTCAGCTTGCTAAATGTTTTGGATTGGATCTATAAGCTGGAGAGCCTCCCAGAAATTTTCTCCAATGATTTCTTATTATAGAGATTATACTCACAACTTTTTCTCACCTGCCTTTGTAATAATTGTTGACCGACAGAAGACCGTCAGGTCTTCTGCTGTGTTTCACAAGTGCCTAGTGCAATGCTCAACTCCATGCTGATGCAAGATAATACAACTCCATCTGCAGATCTGCTTGACAGCTCAGCTTGACGACCATATGGCCTCGACTCTGGCTGCCCACCAGTTTTTCAGTATTACCCCCAATACTCTTTTATTTCATAGACAGAATTGTTAGAATTGCTGTTTTCTCCAAATACAAATTCTGCCTTGCCCATTTCCATTCTTCTTGACTGAAGAAACCTGTAGAGACAGCCCTGAAACATTTTCATCCACAACATGAGGTTGCCTGGTCTCTGGTAGCTTTAATCTGGGTAACAACTTGTCTTCAATTTTGCAATGCTACAAACTGTACTTGACTGAAGAAACATTAGTCGGTCTGAATAAAATGTGATAGAGAAGGGCCCTAAGATACTGGTCACTGATAGAGRAATTGAAATGACCTACTACTCCTACAAAGGGACAAAATCTGTTAAAAATAATGAAAACTGTGTCATGGGAAACATTCCCAAAAGACACTTGTTCAAAAAAGCAGAAYTACAGGTGAATACTTACCCTTTGCAGATGGTGTCCACCTGTTCAAGCCCCCAAAAGGTCAGGGTTTTTCCCTAGTCTTTACTAAACAGAAAGAGGAATTTAAATTACTAAAAATCACCATGTACGTATAAATTAAAGAAATTAAAGAAAACAATTTGTAAGTGCAGTTAGCTTGCTGTCAACGTGGTCTGTACTCCTCCTTTTTCTAGATCTCTAAGAAATCCCCATTTTTGTGGCTTTTACTGCAATGGTGTCTGTGCTTAGCCAACGTAAGACAGGTACTCCGGTGGTCTTCAGTACCCATCCTTTCTGGTCTGGCTGAGCACAGGTTTCCAGGCTGCAAAATGCAGTCAGTCAAAGCAATGGAGAAGAGCACTAATCACGCTAGCATTTGAGCGCTTCCTAAACCAATATATTTATCCTCGCAGGATTTCTGTGATGTCCRGAATTACCACTGTCCCCCTCTCAGAGATGAAAAACAGATGCACACAGCAGCTAATTGACTTAACTAATGTCACACAGGAGCCTGTGGCGGAACAGTGAAGCAAAGTCAGCTGCCCGAGCCCAGTGCTGCGCGCCAGAGGACGGTTCATCTCCAGCACTGCTCAAAGTCTCTGAGCCTGGTCAGTKCCCACTGGCTTTTACAGCTCCCTGCAAATTCAAAGCACAAGCTTTCAGATCATGCAAACTAGGAAGGAAAGGGACCGTGGTTTTCAAACAAACCCAAGTCATTTAATGGTAGCAATGTTAGCCCAGCCCAGATTTGAAGAGTGACTGGGCTTTTGTACTTGCTGCAGGGAAGAAATGTGGGGTTTTTTTTCCTTTTCCCCAACAAATGTTGAGAAGTGATTTCTGATATTTGATCAAAGCTCGTAGTTAATTTCAGCCTTGTCAGAAAATCCATCTGGGGACTGTGAGCTCCCCTCCTTACTTTCACACTAGTAAAAGYAGTATCTACTGGAAACTCTAATTCCAGCCCAATCCCTTTTTCATTTTAATTTTTAGTCCTGGCTACTTCTTTAATTTTATATTTAGTTTGCAGAACATGCAGAGAGCATTAATAAAGAAGGGATAAAGTAGTTAAGAACATAGTGGATACTGTGTTCGGACATCTGGGAAACCATTCTGATTTAAAATTTCAAGTAGTGCTGCTAAATACTAGATGAGGAATGCAACTAACAGAGCTCATGTGTGGAAGAGCGAGTTTTTGATTAAATGCTTGTCCTTATAAGCATTTAGACAGGAAAGGGAGTGGCGTTGCCTTAYCCTTGTAGCAAATTTATAGACCTTGTTAGAGAGGTTAAATTTTTATGCTGACTAAACTTTTCCACACCCTCTTTCTGCAATAAAAAAAAAAAAAAAATAGCCCACAACCAAGCAGAAGATGAAGTAATGTTTCACGCTAAAGCAAAGGAAGTATCTCAAAGTGCTTTCGGTGCCAAAAATGATTTTGCCCAAATGCCTGCTACTTATTCAAATAACTGTGCCTCTTACCAGCTTTTAATATTTGGTAGGAGTGCAAAGCCAGTGTTTTTCTTTGTATGCGTCATCAACTTCCATTCTGATTGCGGYGTAGATTCTGCCCTTGGTTATGTATGCAGCAGCACCTTCTGACAACAGTCACATAGGATAAAGAGTAATTTGAAGACCAGAGACTGTAAGAATGAGAGAGAGAAGGATCACCCTGATGGCAGCTCTGTTGTTACAGCTGCCAGGCAAACAGGAAATACATATTGGATTGACTATTAGATCCTGAAAGGAGCTGATACGCTTGCTGTTTACCAAAATTTATTTCTAACTTGGAAGATCTGATTCTGAATTTTTCAAGATGTAATAGAAAGTCCAATTTTCCTATCTTAGCATTTGAGAGCTGTAATCTTGAAAAGATGAAGGAAATGAAGTATTGTTCTGACATCAGATAATCTCAGACTTTTATATGCAGGCTACAAGGCTGGAGTTGGAGGAGGCACGGGAGCCCTCAGACACAGCTCTAAAGCAGAGCTCTACAAAGAAATCCAGCCACGGAATTTGCCTTCTCCACTGTTGTGCAGCACAGAGGTGGGATCTGGGGACCAGCCCATCTAAAAGACCAACTATTAGAGGTGCTATAGATGGCCTTGAGCGCTATAGGTAGCCATGAACTTGGCAGAACTAGAATTATGCCACTGAATTTTACTATTCCTTTTATAACCAACAGTGTATTTTCTCTGCGTGAAGCCCAGCGTCCAGGCTCTGTGCAAAGACCAGATTTTAGTCCTCGCTACATAGGAGCAGCATGGAAGTGCCACACTTACCTGGAAGATTGTAGTGCGGTACAGGCTGACTGCGGAGGGATTAGCCTGGCAGCGCTGAGACTGACCGGTTTGCGCGGGCGAGAAATCCGCACGGCTCTCGCCGCACACCATTCCCACCTAGGAAGAGGCCAGAATGAGCCATATGTGACACTCGACCTTCCGAGCTTGAAAAGGACATAAATRCCTCCCCGAATCTTGCTATGCTTTTACAGAAGGATGTGTATGTATTATCAAAGTAAAATGAAGCTATTCCTTATTGAGTATTTTTACTTTAATTCGTTCTTTTCACCCCTCACTCTACCTCCTTGTTGTCCCTCTGAGTCAAAAAAGAAAAACAGAAAAAAAAACCCAACAAAAAACCTCACAACAGGAACCAGCTGCCTTGACAAGACATTTAAAACTGCTTTTGTTAAAACAGATTTATATTTTATGGCTTAATATTTTAGAGGCTGGTGACTGGTTAAACTTCTTTCAGCACCAGCACCTCTTGCTTTGGGCTCCAGCCTTCAAATAAGTCACTGGTTGTCATGATTTACTGTGTATACTATGGGACAAGCGCAAGATTTTGACAAGAAAAGATATTTGGGTGTTATTTGAGGAGACATGGGGAAAGTCACTTAGCTCAGTGTTTATATAGAATGGCTTTCTTGTTTCAGAGGTCACCTCTGCTGCAATAACAGGTGCAGTCCTCTGAGCACTTCAGACATCAGCTGCAAGGGCTGCTTTGTACATCAGGGAGGTTATAAGTTTCCTATTAAAGATACTCAACATTTCAGGGAATACATTTTGTTTAACAAACCCTTCCATCACAACTCTAACAGTAAGGTACAGCCCTTAAATACAACTTCTGGCAATAATAAGTGTTATTTCTAAATGCTGTTCCCATTAAGATGTTCAGGGCAATGGATGTAGAAACCTGTTGCTGAAAAATGTGTCAAAACTTTAAAGACACTGTCTGCAAATTTAAGTAAGAGCAATAAAGTTGGTGAGGAAGAGGCAATAAACACAGTACAGACTTGGGTCAAATTTGGGAATAAAGGTTTTCCGATGAACTGTTAAACTGTGGGAGAGTTGGCTCTAATACTCACTCTGCAAATACAACAGAGGGTGGTGTTTGGTTTTGTTTTTATAAGCGTCTTGAGATGGCATTTTTCCAAAACCGAAGGGTTCGGCATGTTTGACAAATGGAAGGGGCTGGCTGAGCATTCCTGAGCTTCCCRGTGCGGAGCCGCGGCCCCTGCAGAGCCCCCGCGCTGCCCCGGGCCCCCCTCCATACCTGGTGTTTTACTCAGCCTCGCATGCCTTTTTGCTCCGAGATCTCAGCTCTCACATCTGAGATATCTGATCAGATCTCAGCTAATCAGCTCTCTGTGTTCACCTCTCTCCTGCTCTTCCTTCTCTCTCCACACACCCTGCAGCCCCCAAGCCCTTTCCCTGCTGAGCACTTCAAGGCCAGAGTCACCGCTCCGGCACTGTCTATCCCCTCAGCATCCCCAACCTTTCCTTGCTCAGACGGCCTCCAAGTTAAACTTCAAAACAGGGATGCTGAAGTCACCCCCGCGTGCATCTCTCTAACCCTCCTTTTCCCACGCGCGAGTCTTTGTACCAGCTTCAGCAGGCCACTTGCCAAGGTTGCTCTGGGGAAGTTCTTGGCTTAGCCTCATCCCCGTAGTATCTGGGCACCTCTCAGTCATGCATGAAGCGATGCGACTAAGACCTGACCTGGGGGATTTGTTCTCTCCCTCCATTCTCTCGCGGGGAGGAGAGCTGTGCCTGCTGGGCGGTGCGCTTTGTTTTGCCTCAATAACGTTTCAGTTTGTGAGGTTTCTSTGTCACTCAGAAGCAGGGGGTGTCACCCACATTCTTAATTCTTTTGTCCTTTAACTTGGCTCTTTTGAGATGTTGAAGATTTTTTACATTTTTTTTCCATAATCTAGGCACTACATTCCTGTAATACAAAGAATATTCAGTGTTGTATATAATGAGTAAAACTGCCTGGCATTACTATATGTCATACTTTTGGGTGCAAATCACCCTTTAACTGTTAGCAATCAGGCTAAATGTGGAACAGTCCACATTTTGTGATTTTTTCTACTTTCCTTTGAATCAAAGACTACTGATCACAGTTAGAGAGGACATGGGGCTACACGGAGGTACATTCTGATTTTGTCTGACCGATACTGAAAGAAAATAGTAATTTTCATATTCAGATTTGGATTAAATGGAGGACAGTTTCTATCTCTCCATTCTCCAAAGAGTTCTCAGTTGAAAAGGAACAACAGAGTCCCATGAAGAGAACTATAATAAAACAGGCTATTTTTAAAAAARCAAGAATTCTTAAACAATTCTTTTTGGCTGAAAAAATAAATTCACTCAAAATCTTTTCCTCTTAAAATACAAAGTGATCTTTAAAAGTTGTACAATAAGGTTCCCTCAGGCATTCCTGTAGTGCACCATAGTATTCCTTGCAGTCTTGGGAGTTGATTTCCAGCAATCTAAACAGACAAAATTGAAACTGCAAGAAGGAAAGACAAGCATCAGCTGCTCTGGTCTATTCTGGATTTCCTGCAGGCAGATGGTAGGAAGATGAATCTGTTCTGTGTCTTCCCCCTACCCATTGCAGCCTTCCCCAGCACCCGGGGCCAGACCAGTGACCATTTGGCTGGTGAAGGGGAGATCCATACACGGAGTGGTTCACCTAATATCCTAAGACCTGACCTTTAAGTACAATTTAATCCAGAATAAGCCAGGACCACCACCAAAACATGCAGCCAAATCATATTATTCCTACCTGAAATTCCCTTTTCCATTCAGATGGCAGAAGCACTTGTGAGCCACATTAGGGAACAGTTCCAGATTAAACAAACTGGAGGAAAAAAGAATTTACATTTTTCCATTTTAACCTTGATGCCCTTTCCCCTGCAACCTTCCTGCACTGGCACCAGGGCTGTTATGCAGGGCTGGGGGAACAGCTGTAGCTGCTGGGGTAGCAAAGCTGCTCACCACAGCCCAGCTGGTTTCTGGCTTTGCCGGTGGACTATTGGAACTTCTCTCCACCACATGGGGAGTTTATGCTAGCCTAAACTGTATGACAAGTTAAGGCCTAACATAAAAGGTATGGCCTCATGCCTAGTTGGAGTTTAAAAGGTTTGCTGAGTAAAAAGCATATCAGCACACCATGTGGGTTGGTTGCTGTGTCCTGCACCTGTAGCTGCACGTCCAGGTCGCTGCCTTGCCTCACTGGTRCGATCCAGCTTGGCTGCATCTGGGATGTGCTCTGCTGCCTCGGACACGACAGCAGAGAGAACCTGTGCACAGGAGTGATTTCACTCCCGACTCTGCTTTTCCTTTCTGTGCATGGGGAAGCGGCCCCTCCCTGTAGCACCAGTTGCAAATCCCCTATTCTAACCCTGACAGCAAGAGCACAAAATATCCTTTTCTCCCATGCTCTCCTGCAATTTCCTATCCCACCTGCTATCCCATTCCCCACAGCATGCAGAGCTTAACTCTTCCCCTCCTGTGCTGGCAGGGTAAAGGAGAGAGGAGAGAGCTACTCGTAGGCTATGAGGAGAAAAGGGGACACCTGCAGTACCTGGGGAGGGCTGGGCCAGGGTAGGGTCCCTCACCCACAGAACTTGGGCTGAGGATGGGGAAGGGAATACAAAGTCACAGGGATATTGCAGCTGGGAACCTCAATTGACTTCCTCCTCACCTCCAGGAACTGTCCCACAGCCTCTTCCAATCACATCGTCACTTCTCCAGCCTGTTACTCACAGCCTTGTCCCTAATCCCCAATCCCACCTGCCTCCTCCCAGCCCACCCGCAAACTCACTGCGAGAGCTACCAGGGCAGCCACAAAGCCAGGAACCTTCAGCTGGCCTCAGCTCCATCCCCCCGTCCCTTTGGAGCCAGCTCCAGCAGTTCCCATCAGTGTCAAAGGCACACTTCCTAAYCTCAGGTTTGAGTTTGTCCAGTTTCATCTTTATCCATTCCTGCTCTACCTCCCTAATCTGCTAGAGAGCCCTTTAATATTAAAAGACTCAAGATAGGCAGACACCTCACAAGAGCCAGATTCTTCCCGTCTCGGGAAACTTTGCAGCATCTGCTCTTTTCAGAGCAGCTTTCACTTTTTCACTCTCCGTTTTATGAGGCAATCCAGCTGCCAGTTTATAGCTGAATGCCTTTTTTTTCTGCTTTAATACAGTGGGCAAACCCAAGGGGCAGTAACATTGCTAGAGTGTCTGCCTAGAACTTTCTCCAGGTGCAGGGATTTCAGCAGATGTTTTTTGTATTGTCCGGACTAGACAAAGCTGTTCAAATTAACTTCAGCTCGGAAGCCAGCAAGTAGATGTCCAGATGGGCAGTGAGACGCCCAGAGAAAGCTCTTGAAGCTGCCAGGGAAGCATTTGGATCATATTGTGCTCCCCATGTGCTACTCTATCCCTCAGGCTCTCACTGCCCTTTCCCACATRTCCCCGTGGGACACAGCAAGGTGAGGAAGACCTGGAAAGAAGAGGTCCCTCAAAGTCCTGCTGGAGGCCTCCTCATTTGAGATGTCACTCAAGTCTTGCTTACGTTTCGCTAGTGCGTGATGAAACGTGCCGTGACAGCCTAAATGAAAATGCTGTAAAATAAACTGCATCGGCTTAAAGACTGCATCAGTCTTTCAAATGGCATTTAATATTGCCATTTTGACTCTATAGATAAAGCTTTGTCATGCTACCATCATAAACTTCAACTTTCAGCTTTTACCACAAGGTTATGCTTGGCAGTGACAGCCCAGTCAAGAAGTAATTCTTTCAAAATCACAGGACACATAACCCCTCTGCAAATAATTTGTACATGGAAAAAACACACATTAGTGGAATTTGTTGTTTGCATAACCCAAGAACAGTTTTAATTAAACAATAAATCTAAGAAGCAATTAGGCAAAAAAGGGTTGAGGCAGAATTGGTATTTTGAGAGGAAGCTGAGATATTGCAGTTTAAAAATCAGCCAGTCTGCATGTTCAGCAAGTATCTGCTTCAGCACCTGTGGAAAAGCCACAGTGTGGTGTTGCATAAACAGATGCCTATCAGGAAAGAAGCTCCATGGGTAGATATGTAATTATACAACTTTAAAAAAGCATAATATTTATACTGCAGCCTGGATTGGCTTCAATCATGTGCATAATACATTTATTTGAAAACATCCTAATTACGTGTTTACCTGACAGAAGGAGCCATTACAATCACCCTGGCACATAAACCAGCTTTATAAATCTGCCTACTTTTGCCTTTTACCCAAGAGACCTGAACCAACTGCACATTTATGACTATTTATATAAATCTCTGAAATAAATAAATAATTGTATTCTTAAAAGATACCATAAAAACATTTTGGACTCCTCTTTCTCGTTCTACATTTTTGTAAAACATTTTTTTCTTGGAGCTTTTCAGAGCAGAGCTGTTGCATTTTATATGCATGGAAAAAAACCCATCCTTAACACTCTGGAAATAATAACAAACTCCTTGAAAGATTTAAATTAGTTTGTTCCCTGAATTAAATGTCCCATCTGCTTCATTTCCCTCCCCAGGCCTTCTTGTCACCCCACAATGCGCATGCACTTTTTTTTTTCCTCCTCTCTCTTTCCTTTGCGTTTCTTATGAATTTCAGGAAATACAGTTATTTCAGTGGGTGAGAGTTGTTTTGTGAGGGGAAAAAAAAAAAGTCAGTTTTAGGATTTCTACTGGGTGCTGAGTGCACCCATCTTACCTTGTTKTGCTAGGAAGGGGAGGCTGGCAGGGGCTGAGCACTTGCACGCGTTGCTGCAGGGCTGCTCCCCAGGCCTCTGCTGTACTAACAGGGTCACTTGCAACTGCAGGAGTTGGAGAAACACTGTTTTTTTTGTGTGTGTGCGTGTTTGTTTTAAACCAAGAGCATTGAAGCATCCGGGAGAAAGCAAAACAAATATTAAGAATTCTAACAACTTTGCAAACAGTCATAAGGGGGAAGCGTGGCGAATCTGGGGCTCGGCGACCTTGACAGTGCCTTTCCAAATAATGCCGATTGCCTAATAAGCTAGCAAAGCTAAAGCAAATTCTAATTTAAGGCTGGCTCCATCCTTTACTCACAGGATTCTCTTGCTCGCTTTTTTTTTTTTTTTTGAGCAAATACTCCAGTCATATTTAAAAATGGCACAGCAACTTCAGCTGAGCATCCTCTCCTCCCCTCTTAGAGAGGGAATGCTGAACATAAATATTTTCTGACTTGATGTTTTGTTTAATGTTTTTCCATAACTCATCCTAATCATTAGCTTACATTTTAGACATTTATAAATAAAATGTACTCATTTAAATTTTGCCTTCCTTTTATGAAATATCTCATTTTTAAATTAAAAAAGAGGAGACATGGCTCTTCTTTCTGGTTTGCATGTCCTGTCAGACTGATTACACAATCTGTTATAATTACACAGAGCTCTGCAGACCTTAAGGGAGCCATGTTATACAGTAGAATGACTGCTAATTGCTATGGGTAAAACCTCGAGTCCATCGAAGTCGATAGCAAAATTTCTGCTAATTTCATAGAGAGAATTTCTGGGGCCATTTTCAGAATTACAAACATCAATATTGTTTAATATACTTAACTGGAATGAAAACCAAATCCATTATTAATATCATATAGAGGCTAATAAAATTTCTGGAATACTTAAGATATCTTGGAAATTTGAAATATTTAGGTCATAAGTATTAAGAAAACAAATATAACTTCTTAAACTGAGTTATTTCCTTCTAACACAATTTGTTATGCCTCTCTCAAATTTATCGTGGAAGGCTATATGACACGTCTGTGTTTTCTCTTTTTCTCTCCGAGGAAATGGTGAGCAGCTAGAGGGGGCTGAGATGCACAACGTATTTTGGGCACAGCAGCCACCTCCCAGCAGCATCACGCGCAGGACGGCACCGCGCGCTGCCAGTCCGCAGCAGCCTGGCCCCCTCCATGGAAGCTGCTACTCGTCCTCACGGCCTCCAGCATTCCCTAGCTCTGCATTTGCCTTTCTGATTTCCCGCATTAGCTTACAGCTATTAGAATTTTTACCAACCTCCTGCTTGGCTCAGTTCCTCAGCCTTTTCAGAGCCACGTCCATCTACCTTGATCCCACTGTCTATCTGCTGCATGGGCAACAATGTGGTGTGTACTGCATCCCTTCCATAGGTCTTCTTTAACTCTATATTAAGCCATCTTAAAATTGCTTTCTGTAACTGCTGAAGTTACCAAATTGTGTACACTAGTTTTTAGTGCAATAGGGAAATTTCAGAAAGGAACTGAAAATCAGATCTATGGTCAGAACTGAGCATGCTCTCTCCAAACTGGTTTTCCTCTTTATTTTAATGTTTATTTCAAATTATTATTTGAATTGAGAAGTAGTTTTTAACCATAGGACAAATTTTAGAATCAACATAGARGAAATTGAAATTGATTAATCTTTATTTTTTAAAAAATGAAGAATCAGACAAGTTCTAACTACAAAACTATGCCTAGCAATTAATTCCTAAAACTATCTTTTAGTAAGTGTATTTGGAATGAAAACAATCTTCCAGTAATATCGGTCTATTACTAGAAATGATGAAGTTGTAAAAGCATAGTTTTTTATAAATCATCATCTTCTGTGTTCAGGGGAAAAGATAGATGACAATGTCATGTTAAATGATGGGGAGACATAATTAACTCCCAGTGATCATGGAGGAAGGCATTGCACAGCTCCATTTTTAAATCAGTAGCTTCAATAATTTGCATCTGAGAATTTTGTAGGAGCCAGACAGAAAGATATCTGGATCATTACTGTTGATTTTCAAAAACTTTTGAAACTAAGTTCAGGAATCAGTTAAAAAAAGAAGACAAAAACAAAACAAAAAAATATTATTGGCCCACTGTTTAAGAAAGGACAATTGTAGGGCTTTCATCCTGACAACTAGCTCCTGCAAAATAGCAAAATGACTGAGACAGCAGTCTGCTGAAGAATTAGAGCTGGCAAACACAGCCAACATCCATTGAATTTATGGAAAATACCAAGCTAATTTGATATATTTTTGTGTAGCTGACAAATTTAATTAAAAAAGGTAATAGTGTATTAATACTCTCTACAGCTAGACTTCTGCTAGACATTGACTAATACCAAATATTCTCCTTAATTAATTAGTAACATATAAGTAAATGTGCTAAGGATTAAATGAATTAGATGGTGGCTCCTTGACAGCTTTGGAACAGGTTTGACAGTGTAATGGTAAAATGAGGAATACTCACAGCMGATGCAAATGAAAGGTCCTAAAAAAATCACCTCCTGGTCCTGCACAATTGGAAAGTTTTAGCATTTAAGAAAGAAGAAAACATAAGTTAATCATTAAATTTGTTGATGGCACAAAAACTGTGGAAATACTGTAATGCAGAAAGCCATGGTAATAGATGAAAGAAAACAGCCTGCACCAAAGGCTTGTCTTGGCAAAGTGCCTTGTTCACGGTATGCTCTAAAATAGCATTTGCATTCTCTATCAAAGGCTAAGAATATACCAGAAACCATAAGCTTGCACTTGATACTTTTTATAATAGATATGTAGAAGGTTACGCAGTTTGTAGAAATCCAAGAATGGGTATTCAGTCATTTGGGCCAGAGAAGAATTAGCTAGAGCTGTAATAAAGTGACACTTTTAGGCTTCTAAAAAGACAGCCACAAGATTGGGTTGCACAGCCACAGACRTGCCTATCTTACATTAATTTGCCTAATCCCATTTGGAACCTACTTACACTCTATGCTATCTTGTGGCATTGAGTTCCACAATTTTAAATGACATGTAGCCTGTGGGAAAATACCTTCTTTTTCAGTTTTACACCTGTGACCCATTTCAGCTGGGAGCTGTCAGGTCCTCCGTTGCAAGAAAGAGTGAGTAGCTTGTCTTTGATCACTCTCTGAATCATTTATGATTTTATAGACTTCCATCCTATCTCCTCAGCCCTATCTGTCACAGGGAGTGTAATCCAAATCTCTCCTTGCATGGCAGTTGTTCCTAACTCCCATTGCCCTCAAGGACCAGCAGCAGGTGTAGGATCACCTCAGGAATCCACCTAGACCACACAGTAGACAAAAGCAGGTGCCACCCTAGTATATTATCTATGCCTGCTTCCACCAGTCACAACTCCAGATTCTCCTAGACCTTCCCCATTCCTCTACTTCTTGCATTCAATGCAGCATTGGACAGTAAATCCCTATTCAAATTTTTTAGACTTCAGGATTTTAGAAACTTCTATCACACTTGTGTCATTCCAGGTTAAGAGTCCTAATCTATTTAGCCCTTCCCATGTGGAAACTGCTCTGGATCTTGATAATCTGTTTTTCAAACCATTTTTTGCTATTGCCCTCTGTTGCTTGTCCAGCCAGRGAGGCCAGAACTGTTCCCAGCACACATGATGCCTGGGTTTCTATGGGGCCTCATGCCTGTTACTGAGGAAGGAATACAGATGGCAACAGTAATTCTGCTTTCTTCTCCGATTTCTCTKGAGCACTGAGAAGACATTTCCATATATTTCTATGCGATTACCTCAAAATCTTTTTCTCCTGTGCAGTAATATTTAACTGAGCCCAACATGTTTACATGACATCAGATTTGTGTCATTTCATGTACCTCACTCCACAGCTATCAACACTGATTTTAATGATGCTTTGTTGTCCAGTCAGCCYGACGTGTAATCTGCTATTCATCTCTTCACAATTCCTGTCTTCTCACCCTAAATAACTACTGTCAAGTGTTGTCACTTCACTGTTCAACCTCTTTTTCAGATTTCTGTTAAATATGTTGATATCACAGGCTTCTGTACCTCTTCCATTGCTTTAATACAAACTTCAAGTAGGAGGGGAAAGAATCTGAAAGAGAGGAATCAGTACTGGGGGCAGTATTTAAGACATGTCTATAAAGTGAAATTAGAAGGTGACATAGTGACATTATCTGTTTCGGTCTCTACTCTTAATAATTCCTAATATTAGATTTGCTTTTTAGACCAATGCTGAGCAATGAGCTGGTGTCTGCAGAGAACCATCTGCAGTGACTTCACCATCTCTTTCCTCCTATTAATTGCTGATTTAGAGCCCATTAATTTATATGTATAGTTTAGGTTACTTTTTCCCCCCTGTGTATTATTTTGCAGTTATGAAGTGTTTCATCTGCCATTTTAAAACTCACTTATTATAATGAAATCATTCTCCACTCTCTGCAAGCAGCTTTAGTTGTGTTCAGCTTCATTTCAGTAACCTGAATAATCTTTTATCATCTTTGGATTTTGCCATCTCACTATTCACCCGCTATCTGCAGGTTTTTAAACAAGTCTTAGGAAACCTGCACACTCAAGAGCTAGGGAACCCAGCAAATGGTATTTGCCAGCCTGCTCGGGGGAGGTGGGTGGTGAAGGAAGAAAGCGAGTGCTTGAGTTGCCAGTTCCCCACTTGGAGGAAGAAGGTCCCTCCAACTGGCACGAGGCAGTGCTCTGCCTGCCAGAAGCACAAGTCTGTTACCCCACAGCTACTCTCCGAACATCACAGGTGACAAACAGCAAAGAAGCATCCCCAGAGTGATTCAGACTGCTGTGTAAAACACAGAAACAGCCAAACACTATCTGGTTTAGCATGAGTAATGGTAAACTCATTTGCCTAAAAATAAAGAGCAAGGGCTACAAATACAGAATGAGGACTTTGGAAGCAGCAGCTCTGTGCAGGACTCATTAGTCTTGACAGAGGAGCATTTGTACAAGAGTTGCCAACATTGTTTTGGGCCAAAGAGCTGGGGAAACCCCTGAGCATTAARTGCTGGCCAGGAGATGCCACTGCCTCTGTGCTTGGCAGTGACAGGGCCATGCCTGGCCTACAGTGTCCAGTTCTGGAGCCAACACCATGAGGTTATTATCAAATCAAAATGGCTTTGGAGTCTTAATAAGAGATCAGAAATGCCTTCTAATAACAGTTGAGGAATTAATCTGTAACACTTTAAAAAGACGCTGYTACAGGTTAAACTGGACATTGCTGAAGAGTCCTGGAAACGAGTGACAAAAAAATGATAGCTCTGCAGCTAAGCAGATGAAGCTGTAACATCATCCAATTGCTAGACGCTGAAACTCAAGAAATTTAGAGAAATAAACTCAAATTCAAATAGGTTCAGTTCTAGGTTTTCTGCTACATATTTCATTCTTCTCTACACAATATACCAAAGATGAAGAAGTTCTGCCTASTCAGAAGCATTGCTTTCCTAGCTAAGCCTCAGCAGGGTCATAATCCCTGCTGGAGGGCTGAGAGCCTTGAAAGGAGGTATATGTGACACTGATGAGAAGAAAAGATAGCTGCAGAGACTCAAGCTCCCATAAGTGTGTGGTGGCATTTGGCTTTTGTTGTCTGAAAAGTTGGGTACAGGGAATGTCTAGCAAATTTGCTRTTTGCACTGGCTGACAAAAGAGTCCTGCAAACACAATGGATGAAAGATAAGAAACTGTGACTTCCTGGGCACAATCACAGCAGTTGCCCAAAGCCTGACCTTGGTGCATGCAGCACAGGATGGAGAGCACCACAGAGCAGAGGAGGGTCACGGAGCTGCAGAGCAGCTGATTAAAGAGGAGCTTGCAATGCAAGGCAGCAGCACATCAGTCGGGCGAGAGCTGCAGGACTGGGCTAGGGCCCCCAACAGAACAGCATGGCCGTTAAGCAGCCTTAGAAAGACTGTAGAGATCCATGGTGCAAGGTAAGTCAGCATTTCCAAGAGGAGAGTTGCTGCCCACCAAGGCTGCAATTGCATCCAGGCCTTCTACCTCATTCCCTGCTCTACTCCCATSCAGCACACCTCCAACATGGGGCCACCTTCCTCCACACTCTGCTCCCACCTACCTTTAGCACCTCTCAAAGAGAGGGAGTCTATCGGGAGCTCTCCTAGAGCCAGGCAGGGTCCCATCCTTTCCTCCCATMTGCTTGTCTCTTCCATGAGATCAGTCAGGACTGCAGAGGGACACACACAAGCAGACAGCAGAACATGTCCAGCAGTTCTGGACAKGCTCCTCTTCCCCTTTGGAGAGGAGCAGGAACATGTCCGCACCTTCCTCACGGTGACCACTGGAGGAGGTGGGGGCTGGCACCACAGCAGCTCGTCCTACCCTGCAATGAAGGGGCAGAGAGATAAGCCCGCATTGAAGTGATCAGGAGGCCAGTGACAAATTTAGTTGCTTGACAGAGGCCACCTCGCTTCAAACAGTGACAGCACTGAGAGCAGGAGCAGATTCAGGAGAAGTAAGGCTAGCACATGAAGGTGGAGCCCCATGGGGCCTGGGTCAGGAGGCATTGGTGACAGAGGCCTGCACAGGCTGAGCACACAGGAGGGTGCTGGGGGTGGTGGTGACCCCTGCCATACCTCCATMCTGTGGTGCCAGGTCACAGCAGCATTTCCAGCCACAAAGAAGTCATCAAGGCTGAGGGAAGCTCAGGGAGACACCTGCACAACCTTGCTGAGAAGCAAACACAAAGCTGACTTACTTCTGGGCATTTATAGCCTGTTTAGACACACCTGGGTTTAGGCACCTGTGCCCCCATTAACACCCTTCTGCATACTTTAGTACCAGCATTAAAAAACCTGTTCCTCCTGGCTTGAGGCTGTTGTTTGACACCACACACCGACACATTGGTTGGTATCACGTTACTTTTCAGGGTTGCAAGCAGAGTAGGGCAAGTGCTTGTCTGTAAGTCTGTGAAGAATCCAAAACCCCACGTGGCAAGCTATTTGGTCTGGATGATCTGACAGCATATAGATGTACATCCTGGCTGAAATTACACGGAAGAAACTTAAATCCCTCTTAATGAGGTGCTCATTATTGGGTGCATCCCGAACACCACTGCTGGAAAGGAGAGTGTGCTGTGGGGAGCACCTCAGGCAACAGTGTCCATTGGCAGAGAGTCCGGCTGGTCACCACAGAGCTTCAAACTGGGGCTCTGGTTGATAGCTCCTGCCTGTGCCCGCTCCAGTGTCTTCTGAGGTCAATGTGGGCTTGTCTYAGGCTGCTACCAAAGACCCTCCCAGAGATGGTTTTGCAGATGTTGCCTCCCGAAATRCCTCTTGGCCACTGTGTGGCAGCACTGGATACTGGATTTGTCCTCAGTGGCAGTGCCTGCCAGGTCATACTTGGGTTTTATGGAAGTGGTGGTAGGACCCAAGGTGCTGCACTCGCACTTGCTAGCTGGCAGAGAGGGGTATCTGCTCTTGGCAGGCCTTGCTGGAGTCATTTCCCTCCACATCCCTTCCAGCCAAAGCCATGGCAGTGTCCAGCAAGGGGCAGTTGGTGGGCAGGGCTGTTCACAGTGGAATGGGAATGCCGCGAATGGGAGCAGCAGCCGAATTTCCCRTTCCTGGTGGGAGGAGGAAGAGCCCTGCGTGTCCGTCTGCTGCTTCCCAGGCTGCTGCTCAGGGTTGGGAGGGGACTCCCCTCTCCAGGGCTCCAGCAGCGCTTTCCGCAGCAACAAACACGCAGCCCCTTCAGCTCTCAGCAGTGTCTCCGCTCTGAGAACACAGCGCAGGATGTTATTTTGTTGGAAAGCCAGAACTTCAGACTTTTCTCCCGCTTTCATCTGCTGGCAATTAGCGGTGTGCGAGTAGCAGCCTCGGCGTGTGTCACCRGCTGCTCCTTGCAGGGCTCTTGCCCACGGTTGCGCTCCCCTGCTCGGGCTTYGCACCCCACAGGGAGCCTGGTTCACTGCCCAAGTGCTCGCTGCTACCTGCACTTGCTATATCCAGCCTCATCTTTTCCTCTTTAACTTCAAGCTCCTTGTCCTACCATCTTCTGAGACTATGAACTAATTCCCTTCCTTCATTTATATTGTTACCTTGAAGGTATTTATAGGCTAAGACCGCATCCCTTCTGACTCTCACCATTTCTAATTTATAAAACTTCAGCTTCCTTCAGTCTTTCATAACCATGTGCTTTGTTCCTGGCATCATTCCTATTCCATACCTCATTTTTTAAAGAAAACTTTATTGTAACACTACAACAAAAACTACTCTGAGTGGACTGGCCACGTGGGAGACTGAGAAGCTGGTTGCATAATAAGGACAATCTTTTCACAAAGCGGAGGCAATTTGTTGCAACAAATACTGAACGAGTGGGTCAGAGCCAGTGAATTCACAGAACTACAAACTCCTGAGCACCCTTTTGGGGCAAAGAGAGCAAACAGCTTTGCAGCAACTGATTACAGACCGGCTCTGACTGCTGCAGAGGTCCCCAAAATRCAGGTTGCTTGTAGGCTCAAGGTGCATCCCATATCAGCTTCCATATTTCCACACACACGACTTGCAAGATCTTAGTGATTCACCCCTGGTATGAGTTACGTGCAGCAAGGAGTTAGGTGAAGGGAAATTGCTCCATTCTCAGTAACCTTAATGCCACAAATTCCCCCCGCTTGCTCTCCAGCACTCATATCTTCTGCCTTCCCTAAAACACAGCGGGCTGTGGAGGGGATTGCAGCCGCTTCCCGGGGAGGTAGGGAGCTGGGCTGCAGCCCTGCAAGTTACCGGGAATGCAGGCTATAGAAATCCCTACTTTCAAAGGACTACACTTGAGAAAGCTGCAGGTTATTTGAAGAGTTAGAGCTTGAAAATAAGAGGTTGGGTTAGCTTCCCCTGCTCCCCACCGACACCAGCTCCCTTCTTACTTGGGGATAAAAAGAGCCTATGTGCAGAAGCCGAGGTGGAGGGCAAACATCGCTGCTAGCACACCAGGAGGACCAACACAAGGCTGCGTATGTAGGGAAAAAACACTCACCACCAGCAAGTACTTTACCTGTGAGTCCTCTGCAGATTTTGGAGCCCCTGGGCAGAGCCCGTAGGCTCTGCAAGGCAGCAGCGAGGAGAAAGCAGGAAAGGAGGAGGCAAGAAGGATGAAAAAAAAAATGCTCTGAAACCTACGTGCCAGAGAGATGTGGGCAGGTGGTGGGCAGAGGCCTGAACAGCCTTCACAACCTTGCTGGTGATGGGAGGCCTGTCTGGCTTCTCCCGGGCCCCAGAGAGCTCCTGCGATGAAGGGAAGATTAYTTTTCAAGATTCTTTTCTGAGATTTCTTTTAAAATTCTCAGGCGCACTGTGTCTGGGCCTGCAGATTTACAATATGTAGGTTGAGTTTTGTCAGATACTCTTTTACCATCTCTGTGTTTATCCTTTGCTCTTGGCCTCTCCAGCTGCTCTCTCATAAATCCTCTGCTTCCTGCACAAGAATCCCAAATTTCTTCATTATCATTACTGAAACTAAGTGAAAATAGTTCTTTAAACCCATACTGCCCTGGAGTCAGCCCAACTCAGCCTTCAGTTGCTGCAAGACTCGGATTTATTCCCTGATTCCTCTGCCCTTCTGTTCTTGTTTTTAAATAAAAATAYTAATGCACAAACATTGCAGTGTGAGTAGAGCAAAGCTGTCCTCATGGAAGAGGTTTAAAATGCAGTTCAAGCATGTTAATGGTAATGCTATGTATTCTAAGTATACATCATTTGGGGACCTGCTCATCTTCAAGTGAATCCGCTGTGCTCATAGTCTTGACAGATTAATGAATAGGTCATGGATTTGCCTGTATTTATGGACTGCTGTCTTATCTCTTGTATCTTAACTCTCTTTTTTAATTTTTTTATGCCTTTTTTTTCTACCTGCATTTCTTGGCTGTCATTTTATAGCTGTAGGTTATCCGTGAATTGCTAATGGGTGAGCTGTGTTGAGCAGCGCACCCCTCGCAGGGCAATGCAACATGTGTGACATCCTCCCAGCAGCCCATTGCCACAAGTGACAAAACTATCCAGCAGCCGCTTACAGCTAATTGGAGACAGGACAAAGGAGCTGGCGCCAACACATTGGCTTTGTCTTGCAAGTGAATGGATGGAGGTGGCACCAGCACCTCGCAGACCGGAGGGGAAATCAGATCTGTTATTGCTGAGCCCTGGTGATGTCCTCCCACCTTCTTGGAGATAGAGACTTCGCCAGCTCTGCTTGAAAAATGCCTCTGAAAACTCCAGGTGTTTCTCTCTTCTACAGGGGAACTTGATCTTCACTTGGAAAAAGTAGTTATTCYGAAGCTTTACAGGGATAGCTTGATATTATTACCTATTTCCTGTAGATCCTGTGTGTTTCACTGAGCCGGGTACTGAGCCGCAGGACAGAAAAGCTACAGAGAATTTGACCTGCACGTCCAGCTGAGGTATGTCAGGAATCCAGAGCCATTTAACCTACTTGCATATGTATTTTGCTGCTGGAAAGATTGGGTGCATAGCATCTCCCAAAGTTAAACCTTTTATCAAACACGTACGTACAATGTGCTGGCCTATAGCCCTTGGGAGCCCCAGCGCAGATGCTGCAAACAACGGCTGTGAATTCTGCGCTGCTGGGATCACAGAGTGCTCTACAGCAGGGGACAGCCCAGCCCACACATCCCCTCCACTGAAACTGGAGCAGGGTTGTTCCCCCAGGACATCCTCCTGCCCTTCCCTTGGATTTGCAATTGCAGAGTTTCTTTAGAGGGAATATTTTACGGGCTATTTTAATCCCTTTTGCTGTGGTCGATCTGGCAGGACAGGGCTTGTGCTAGAGAGGCACTGCAGAGTGTCCTCCCTGGGTACCCACACTGGGTGTTYTGCACTTCGCTGCCTCGCACTCCCTCTTCAGCACAGCCTGAGACCTCAAGTAACACTGTCTTTGGTGGGGCCATAGCTCTGCCACGGCATTCAAAGCATAACCCATTCTGGTGTTAAATACCTGCATGGGTTTCCTAAGACAAGACCACATGAGGCTCCCTCCAGGTCCGTAATGTGTTGTTAAATGGTTCTGCCAAGACAGGGCAGCCGCTGGGCTGCAGGTCCACCRTGAGCTCCAAGGGTCCTCATCATCACGGCGTTAGGTCCTCCCGGGGCTTGTCTGCCTGCGTGATGCCAGGCAATTTCAGCCTGATGCAGTTCTCTCCTGAGGAAATGCTGGCTGTAGATTTAGGAATAGATATTGCCAAATAGTATATTGTTTTCATAAATCTCTGTAGATCTGCTTTATATCCTGCAGGCTAGACATTCTAATTATTGCTTCTATTTTATCTAAATTGGCAACAAAGCCATCCTAGCTCAGCTC